ACCCACCCGTCCCCCATCTACCCATCCGCCCCAGGCTCAGGGCTCCTTTCCCAGTGGAGCGCTGTGTGCTTGATGCCTTGCTTGCTCATGGGAAGCAGCTATCAGCGGACTCTCACAAGCCCGCGACACCCTAAATTATCAGCCACACCCCGACCTGCCAATAGCCACGCTGAGCATAGGAAGGGAGCTCGGCACACCGGTGGCCCTAGCGAGGCCTTCTCGTGCGCAGAGGTCCCGAGGCGCCCCTGGCCCCACGCTGAGCAGGCTCCGGCCAGGCACCCTGGGCCGTGAGGTGGCGTCCAAGTCACCGTGTCTCCTCAGTGGAGCCTGAGGTGAAGCTCATCGGCAACATCCACGGCAACGAGGTGGCAGGGCGCGAGCTCCTCATCTTCCTGGCGCAGTACCTGTGCTCCGAGTACCTGCTGGGCAACCCCCGGATCCAGCGCCTGCTCAACACCTCCCGCATCCACCTGCTGCCCTCCATGAACCCTGATGGCTACGAGGTGGCGGCAGCCGAGGTGAGCACCCACGCCTCCTCACCCGAGATTCCCTGGTGGCTCCAGACGGCCTGGATTCTAGGCAGCGGGGACTCAGCTGCCGTCTCCGCGGCAAGGTGCGCCAAGGGCTGGAGGTGCTGATAACTCTGCGGTGTGTTAGAAAGCAGCCTCTGCGGTCAGCGGGTGAGTGGCTAAGGGAAGCGTGGTGCCTGCCGGCCACGGAGCACCGCTCTGCCAGGCGAAGGCTACCCTGGAGTCGCTTGGAGGGAAGCGCATGCACCGCGAGATGACAGTGCCGCGTGCAATAAGGCGGACACGCGGGCTTAAGTATCACGTGGCTCCTCTCCCGTGAGGAGCCAAGAGTGTGCAGAGCAAGGGGAAAGGCCGGTGGCAGGACACGGGGCAGATACTTGCAAGTGGGGGGAGGAGCAGGAGGAGGAGCTATAGAAAGACTGAGGGCTGAGCCGCTCCGACGCCCCTCCCAGAGTGTGGTCTTTATGCATCACCAAGATGCCCGAGAAGACATCCTAAAAGATGACCTGTGCCAGGCGAGAGGGCAGAGCCTGGGTCCCAGCGCTTGGGAGGGTGAGGCAGAATCCACAGCTAGAGCCCACGCTGAGCAGCTTAGTGACTCGGTGAGACCCTGTCTCAAAATAATAAAAACTTAGAAAGATCTAGGCATGTAGCTCAATGCCAAGGCCCTGAGTTCGGGTGTCAGTACTTAAAGGTGACACAGGCCATCGGAGACTCAGGACAGAGAAAGCGTGGGCCTGAGCAGTGTGCGAGGGAGCCGGGATGCTCTGGGAGGCAATTTGGACGCGGAGGCGGGCGGCAGCCCAGGCCCCGGCTGAGCTGTCACCCCAGCCAGAGGGAAGTCACAGACCAGCCCCGACTCAGCCCAGCTGCCCAATGCCTGGACGGAGTCGTGGGCTGTGCCGGGCCCAAGTCGGCGTGGTTGTATCTTCAGGGTGCCGGCTACAATGGGTGGACCAGCGGGCGGCAGAACGCACAGAACCTGGACCTGAACCGGGACTTCCCGGACCTGACTTCCGAGTACTACCGGCTGGCTGCGACGCGCGGCGCCCGCACTGACCACATCCCCATCCCGCAGTACTACTGGTGGGGTAAGGTAGGCGCTGGCTGCCCGCACCCGGCCCCCAGCCGCCCCTGGTGGGCCCGGCTGGCCCGCAAGCCTGACGTGTGGCTGCTGGGACCTCTGCCAGGGTCCACAGCCGCGCGTGCTGTCTGGGCTGCACCCGGCTGCCGGGTGTCCAAGGCACGGTGCAGGTCCGGGTGCTGTCCCCTTGGGGCTGGCTGTGTTGTGGGAGGCACACCCGAAGCTGCCCCTGCCCAGTGCTGTGGAGCCGAGTGGCAGCTGGCCCCCCTTGACCCCGGGAGAAGCCATCCACGACACAGGGGCGAGTTGAAGCACTCGTGGTGTGGCGGGCAGGCTGGCGTGCGTCGGTCCTGAGGGCCCGCCTCTGCGGCAGGTGGCCCCGGAGACTAAGGCTATCATGAAGTGGATGCGGACCATCCCCTTTGTGCTGTCCGCCAGCCTCCACGGGGGCGACCTGGTGGTGTCCTACCCCTTTGACCTCTCCAAGCATCCCCTGGAGGAGAAGATGTTTTCCCCCACGCCCGACGAGAAGGTGAGGGGTGCTGAGTCCCCACGCGGGAGCTCCCGGGGCGCGGCGACGGCGCCTTGCCAACCAGGAGGGCGCGTGTAGGGCCGACGCCGGCAGGGGGCGCTGCTGCAGCGCGCATGGCCCCTTTCGGGGCCGGGGATGCGGTCTGGCTGTTCATTTGGCTGTCCAGTTCCCGACTGGAGGAGGTAAGAATCGGACGCAGGACCCAACCAACCCACTCATCCCCACGCCACGGGGCTCCCCGAGGTCCCCAGCCTGGACACGACCCTGTGCTGAGTCTGGGGCTCATGCGGGGCTCTGGATAGGGAGGTCCCCTCCCATGGTGTGGGTGACTGAGGCTGAGGGTCAGGGTGACCTGAGATGGACTGCAACCCCAGTGGTGCTTCAGTCCTGAACTGACCCAGTGACCCTTCCCCTGTCCGCGCAAGGACCACGTGCTGCTCAGGAGAGGGGCAGAGGGCGGATGGAGGGTGGGCGTGGATGAGCAGAGGTGATGGGAAAGCTGGCAGCTCCTGGGCGGGAGGACTGAGCCTGGGAGGGGGCAGGGCCTGGGAGGGAGGGCGGGGCCTGGGAGGGAGGGCGGGGCCTGGGAGGGAGGGCGGGGCCCTGGGCCCGGGAAGGGCTCTGCCAGGGCTGGCCTGAGGCCATGTCACCTGGGTCAGTAACTGCTTCTCACACACTCATTCACTCCCTTTCCCCACTCGTACCCCCTCCTGCCCTTGTACCCCTTCTGCACACCTAGGTGAGGGCTGGCTCAGTGCTAGAGCTCCTGGGGTCCCCGGTACCTGGTGGTCTCCCCATGGAGATCCTGGGCAGGGCAGGCGTCTTTGAGCTGCCTCGTAGGCTGGGCCTCCATGCGTGGAAACGGCCCTGAGGGTAGACTCACCTCAAGGAGTCCCACCAGAGTGGGCAGAAGCAAGCCATTCCCCCAGCTGTCATTCACCCATCCATCATTTACTGCTGCCTGGAAACCAGCGCCCCTGGGAGGCCGGGCCAGTGGGGATAGGAGGCATGGGACTGGCGTTCTCCTCCCTTAGGATCCTGGTGCCAGAGGGCTCCACACCTGCCTGCTGTGAAGCCTGCTTTGCCTCCTCCCCTACCCCACAGCACAGCTGTGCCACCTAGCCAGCAAGCTAGACCTGACCGCAAGCCTGTGCTCTGCCTTGTGTCACTCTGTGCTGTCCCCTCATGCCCTAAACTCAGGAGCAGTGACAATGTGAGGAGGCACAGGGGCAGGGAGGGTGTCCAGGTGCTGGAATGCTCAACCATGCGTGTTCATGAGTGGGTGGTAAGGACCAGGCGGGGCAGCCAGCTTTGCAGCCCTCAAGTTCTGAGGCATGCGCATGGAGAAGCCTGGAGCAGGCCCCAGGGACAGGACTCTGCCGAAGGCAGCAGGGGCTGTAGTCCTTGATGCACCAGTCCTGGGGTTGGGCCTGAATGGCCCTGGGTAGGTGGCTTGCATTTGATGAGCTGGACCTATCCCTGCAGCCCCCAAGCCCCAGATTCTGGGCTCCAGGTTGGGTGACCCCACCAGGGAGGGCTCTTGCTCTGGCACGGAGGCTCCGTATCTCTGAGCCCTGCCTGGCCACCTTCCTGGTGTCCCCTCTCCAGAACAGATATGTTCCAAGCCATGGGGCCCTGGCAGGCCTGTGCAGGAGCAGGTGTAGCCATGAGACTGTCATGTGGGGACCCTGTGTCTGCCAGAGCCACAGAAGGATGAGACAATATGGGTGGGTGGCAGGTCCCCACTGTGTGTGATGCCTCTCCACCAGCTGCAGAGGAAACCCTGGTGGTTTTGGTGGCAGGGAGGAGCTACCAGGTAGGGTCCTTCTGCAGGGAGCCCATGGCTGGGTGCAGTTGGCAGGGAGGAGGGTGCAGTGGTGTCACGTGGACAATGTTGGCGTGGAGATGAGTCTGTGGAGACAGCCTGCAGGCCGTCCCCACCCCTGAGCCTCCTCTCTCCATGGGCCATAGGCACTTGCCAAGCTGGACCGCTGAGCTCAGCGGGCCGGCCAGTGTCCTCCCCAGGTGGGTGTGAGGGCTCAGTGGTCACTCATCCCTGTCCCTAGCTCAGTGGCCTGATGTTACCCACCACCACCTGCAAGCCTGTGCCCATTCCATGCCCTCCACCTGGACTCCATGCCTTCTCCTGTCTGCACCATGCTGTGCCTAGCCCGGTGGGGTCCCATGGAGCTCCCTCCTCTGGGCTTGGCCGATGTGACCTCTCTCCCACTCCTTTCTTTGCAGATGTTCAAGCTGCTGGCCAGAGCCTATGCCGACGTCCACCCCATGATGATGGACAGGTCGGAGCACAGGTGCGGGGGCAACTTCCTGAAGCGGGGCAGCATCATCAATGGCGCTGACTGGTACAGCTTCACAGGAGGTGTGTGCCACAGGGGCGTGGCCTCAGCGCCTGTGAGAGCATGGTGGGGCAGGTGGCTCTGCTCCACGAGGGGCCTGGCTCATGTTTTAGTTGCTCCTTCTGCTAATGGGTGGGATGTGCCCCCGACCGAGCCTGAGGCAGGGTGTGGGCAAGCCGGCTGTGTGGCCGCCCACAACTGCCTTTCCTGCCCTACGCCTTATCACATCCGTGTCATAACTCTGCTCATGACCGGTCCGCCCCTGCCCCTGGGTGGCAAAGTAGGCTGGCCAGGTGGAACCCTGGAGCACCCATGCCTGGCCTTTCAGACACTGGCAGGCTTAGCACTGTGTAGCAGGCTGGCCCAAGGCATGGGATGCGGGCACTCAGGCAGCGTGGGGCGTATACACGCTGAGTCCTTCTGCGTGACACTACCAGGCACCTGCACATTTACTGGCTGAAGCTGTCCTGGTGTGGGCATGCAGGGGGCCATGTGGGTGACCCTGCTTGGCCACATGTGTGGACACCACTGCCACGCGTCCCTTCACAGTGCTTCTCAGTTGTGCTGTCCTGCAGATGAGGGCAGAGAAAGACCCCTCCAGGGTGGTGGCCCTAGGTGACTGGGTGGGACTCATGTCCTCCTCTCTCCTCTTGCCTTGGAGCCAAAGTCAACCCCACAGCGACGCCCTCTGTTGTCCCCAGCGACACATGCTGTGTTCCCTGTGGAGGGCGGCTTCTCTTCCTCCAGGACTCTGGCTCACATCCACCACCCTGGGCTCAGCCGTGGCTCTGTCATCCCATCTGCAGGCATGTCCGACTTTAACTATCTGCACACCAACTGCTTCGAGATCACAGTGGAGCTGGGCTGTGTGAAGTTCCCACCCGAGGAGGCCCTGTATGGGCTCTGGCAGCACAACAAGGAGCCACTGCTCAGCTTCCTGGAGATGGTGCGCTTGGGTAGACGGGCTCACCCCGGCCCTCTCTGGACTCGGGCGCTGTGCACCCTCTTCAGCTGGAGGGTGCTGGGGCGTGGGGTGAAAGGGCCGAGCCGATGAGCAGAGATCTTACGACCAAGGGGATGCTGAGAGAAAAGGGTGCGGGAGGCTTTGGAGGCCAGGGGTGTCCTGGAGGGGGGTGCTGGCCAGCTTCATTTTGAAGGAGTGGAAACCAGGCACAAGAAGGGAGCGCTCAGGTGGAGGGACACGTGGGAGCCTGGGCTTCTGAGGCCGAGGTGAGGGCCGTGGTGGAGGGCGGGGCACGGTGTGGCCACAGGGCTCTGGCACAGGTCGGTGGAAGAACTAGGAGTCGTAGACTGGGGCAGTGGGGGCTCCGGGGTCCCGAGGCAGGATTCTGAGGGTTCAGGAGGTGACACTGGCCCCAAGAAGCAACTTTTCCCAAGTGCGCCAAGTCATGCACACAGCAGGTTGGCACAGGTATCTGAGAGAAGCAGGAGCACCGTGAGTGGGGCGTGCGGGGTGACACTGCACACCAGCCCCGCCCACACTTGGTGCAGCAAGGTATCTTGTCTATAGGTGGGAGGCCACGCATGGCTGGGCCCGTGGAAGTACAGAGGCTCAGGCGCCACATGCCTGTCCTTGTGCCTGGTGTCTGTCCCAGTACAGACTGAGGTCTGCTGTCCCCAGCCTCAGCCCTGTTCCCATGGTCCCTTTTTGGACAGATCAGCAACTTCCTCCAGGTCAGGCCAGAGCAGCAGCAGCCAGAGGGGGAGAGCAAAGCCCGTCACCACTGAGTGGGTGCAGGCTGCTTGTGTGCAGCCCAGGGAGACTCAGCCGCACCCTTAGATGACTAAGCTCCGAGTACTTTGTTTTACGGCCATCTGGTGAGAATGAGTTGCAGGGACCCTCTGCGACACTGTGTCTGCTCTGAGGCTGTCTCTGGCGAGGTCTCAGGATGCGGAGATTTAGGGGTGGCATCCAGCAGTTTGGCCAGCTGGACCGGCCTGGCCTCTGAGACAGTTGACCTGGGAAGGCTGCGCAGCCTGTGATAAGATCGAGCCTGTCGGGGCCAATTGAGGCCATTTGCCAGTGATCCTGAGCAGGCCCAGGGGTGGGGGTCCCAGGGTCCTGCCAGGAGGGTGGGGCAGTGCTGCTCTGCCCCTGCATGGTGTGGCACAGGGAGGCCTCTGGTCACAGGGCACAGAATCCAGCACTTCAATGCCAGCCAACCAGGCAGGGTAGGGAGGGAGTCCTGTGTGTCCATCTTGCTCTGGGTGGGGACAGGAGGCAAAGGACACTGACAGTTGGCCGGGCTGGGAGACAGGAAGCCCAGGGCTGGGGGGCCTGGGAAGAGGCTCTTGAGGAGGTGGACATCAGGAGGTCTGCTTGGGGCAGGGAGAGCCAGCAGTGTGGCCAGGGGCGGGGCCTGGCTGAGGGGCTGAGTCCTGGCGGCCAGGTGGGGCCGAGGTGGCCCAGGCCAGAGGCTCAGGAGGCACGGAGACCTCTTGCCACCCACTGTCTCACCTGGCTCCCTGCTGCTGGAGATGTGCGGGAGGGTAATGCCACGAGGACACAGGGAGGGGCAGCAGCCCAGCCTCCCACTGGGTGGGGGCGAGGCCCGAGACACGCCTGTCACAGATCCAGGGTCCTAGAGTCACTGCGTTCAGCCAGGGCATAGGAGAGCAGGGTCACATGGATTTGGAGCACTTTTTGGTCTGGGCTCTGACCAGTTCCTTTAGCTCCTGTGGGTCAGGCAGGCTGGGGGGTGTCAGGCCCTTCAGGGAACTGTGGTCACTTGATGACTTGCCAGGCATCGTCATGGGCTCCACCCCGGAAAGCAGGGCCCAGAGAAGGCAGAGACTCACCTGGAGCCACAGGGCACAGGGGCTGGGGAGGGCGCAGCCGGAGCCACAGGGCACGGGGGCTGGGGAGGGCGCAGCCGGAGCCACAGGGCACAGGGGCTGGGGAGGGCGCAGCCGGAGCCACAGGGCACGGGGGCTGGGGAGGGCGCAGCCGGAGCCACAGGGCACGGGGGCTGGGGAGGGCGCAGCC